ATGGCCACGTGGTCCAACCGGGACCACGGTTGACTTGCGGTTGGTGGCCGCTAGATTACGCAGTGCGAACGTTTATGTTAAAAGTTCGTACTTGCCATAAACAGTTCATGATTAGAACACAACTGAAGGACTCGACCTTCGTTGTCTATGCGGCAAGTATCGACTCCGAATCGACCACCCAAGTGTGATTCCAAGGAGCTAAGACAACCTTGAGCATTCATATCGCCTGATAGGATCACAATCTCAGTGCCTTTTGCTTGACGGATGAGCCCGTAAATATGGACATGCTCGTCGCTTGGGGGGGAATACCTTACTGCCTTCACACCTTTGTCGCAGACGACTTTACCCCCAGACCGCCTCGTAACATGGTTACTCGTAGTACGGGGTTCCGCTGCTGTTGGTCTGACTGCTCCCCTTTGGTCTTCCTGGCATGGTTGCACCTTGTGGAAGGACTTTCCAGCTAGTGCCCAGTGCTCAGGCCATGCGTGTGGACCTTTTGACTCGTAGTGCCCTCTTCGCCCATCTTTGCATCGGATAAAGATGACCCGGGGACACTCAGTTCATGGTTTGGTATTGAGGCATGAAAACCCTCACCAGTCAACTCAGTCGCCTTGGTAACTGCCGTTTCCGTGAAACGAGACAGGCCGTAACAGATAAGTGTTATGCAGCCGTTGGTGGTCTCGCACAAAAGCCATCGCCTCCATTGCGTACCTATGCTATTCAGCTGTAGCACCATTTTGGTGCCTAACTGCCGTACCACCCGAAGGAAACACGAGGTTTAGGGTACTGCTAGGTTGCTCAAGTCTAGACAGGAAAAGTCGGGAGGCGGAGGTCGGGGTCGAAGCACCGACCCTACGATTAGAAACTTGGCGCTCTAAACACAACCATATCGCCTCGTGTATCTGTGACACCCAACCTAAAGTTTTCACCTTGTCGTCATGATCGAACTTCAGTGCTATATTGGCTGGATCTTGTTTCCTTAATGTCCAACTATGTCAGGAAAACCAACGGAGATTAATCCCTACGAAAAGCAGTGAGTACCCGTGCTACGATAAATCGCACTACGAGCCATTCTGGGCATAAATTACTTCTATCCTCTGGGTTAGTGTGAGGGCAGTACGGTGTTTTTCCAAGGTGACCAGCATGTTCATAGTTGTGGAAGCAGTAGTACAGCCTTTCTTCGAGAAATGACGGTCATAAAAACCTCCGGCACATCACTAAATACAGTCTAAATATCTTCGCTGTGCGCAGCTGCACATGGAATCAGACAATTATGCCTTACTCCATGTGTCCTCGGTCCAGACCAGCTCCGTGAAGCCAAACGGGTCAATGTTTAGTGATCGGCTCCAGAAGGGTCCCCAGAGGAAACTGACAACCGCTGCCTCGCTGTTCATCGGCTAGGGCCATGATACTCGAACAAAACCTCACGTCCCCCCACTGAATTGCAGGACAGACTTCATCAAACGCTCAATTTGTGGTATCTCAACGCAACCCCTTTGGTTTCGGAAACCGGGAAGTATCATGTGCGCCTCTCTCACCAACCATCCACCTCAACCCTCCCCACCCATCGACCAGTGCAGTCCGATCGCCCCCTCTGCTATTCCCCTAAACATCTTTCCGTGTCTTAACGGTCGCCCAGAAAAATAAACCAAAATAATTACTTTCTAACCACAAAAGATCTGATCCACGTTAAAGCCTTCTAATGTCTGTATCATCATCATATCATCGACAGTATGACATCAGTGTTCAACACCGATGCTTCACTGCCGTACAACCATGACTTGTTTGAAAGCCTTATTGTGAAGAAAAGAATAAAGGTGGATGGGGGAGGGACTTAGTGCTAGCTTAACACAATCATTCCGAGGTGCCTACACCTCCAGACATTCACTCAGGCAATCTGGATAGAAACTGACAACAAGAACGCCACTGACATCGGTTGGCAGCCATATCTTGTAGTGTCTCCAACCAGGCACAGTGAGGATCACGCGGTCCCCATCCTGGAAGGCGAG